GTGTCATTTCTACCAATTTCTGATATCGTTTAGTTCAATTCCAATTATACTTGTTTTGTTTCTGCCTTGTTACGTCACAGCTTATTGAAGAACTTGATTAAGTGTGTTGTGTTCGCTTCCTTTTTTTCATCTGTTTTCAGATTTATTTCTCCATGAATAGATCCATTGAGTTAGTTTAAAGCCACTTGTTTGGTTACTATAGCTTTGAAACTTTTAGATCCTAAGTCTATTAGTAGCAGTTTAGAATTTTTCACTTTACATCAACTGGTCTGAATTCCTTAATAAGTGAAGCATGATGACAGTCATGTGTGCAGAATAAGTGTAAACTTAGGTGGATAGAAAATGGAACTGCAGAAGTTAAAGGATGATATAAGCCTGTCCCAAGGGATTAATAGAGGAAGAAACATTGAAACCAACTTCCCTGTTAGATGAATGCTTCTTGGCAGACTCTACAGACTATCATTTATTGACTCATGCTTGAAAATTGAGAAAAAGACAACAACAACAAAAAGTAACCCAGAAAAGCAAGAAGCTAAGGAAAAGCAGTAATGAAATGCTTAAAGAAAGCCACAGAAACCAAATGCAAAAGAGAGAGTTTCACGAACATTGATGCGATATACAGTCACCAGACACACACACCAGCCATCTACGAGTGAATTGGAATTGCAGATGGAACTTGACCATCCCCAGCTTTCAAATGTTCTCCAATGTCATACATCCAGATCCCCAGGTTCTTTATATGGGTACACTAATGGAGGAACCTACCAAACTTCACCCTACCTGAAATTCACCCTTTGTAGCTATCAGTCTCTAGGCTCGAATTGGTTTGATCCCTTTTTTTAAACAGTTGGAAAGAACTTAAATTAAAAGGAAGAGGGGAGATGTGAGAAGCCCACACTGTAAGCAGGGGGAAAGAGTTGAAACAAAGATGTTTTTTAAAAATCACTGATTTTCTTTTCAGGTTGACTTAGTAAGAGACCAAGCCAGCTGCCTATAATAAAAGTTAGGGCTGGGCTTGGTGGCTCATGCCTGTAATCCCAGTGCTTTGGGAAGCAGAGGCGAGAGGATTGCTAAACCCAAGAGTTCAAGACCAGCTTGGGCAACTTGGTGAGACCTTGTCTCTACAAAAAATTAGCCAGGCATGGTGTCACGTGCATGTTGTTCCAGCTACTTGGAAGGCGAAAGTGGAAGGATCGCTTGAGCCCAAGCAGGTAGAGGCTTGCGATAGCCATGAGCGTGTCACTGCACTCCCGCCTGGGTGACAGAATGAGGCTCCAACTCAAAAAAAAAAAAAAAAGTCAGTGGGCATCAAACTTGTTCTGCAGGGGCTGCAACCTTTTTTGAAGTGGAAGTTGTGTGGCCTCCTGTGCGATTAGGCTTGTGCTATGGTATTGCCAACTGATTTCTCCAATTTTCTTTTCTCAGTGGGCTAGAACGCAGCTGGTAAATAGGCCGTGACTCACATAAGTTCCCGTGTCTTTTTTATTGACTGCTTTATGGAAATGTATCACACTCCAAAGGGTCCCCATTGTTGTTGCTGTGGATAGCTGACTGAAGAGTCCTGTTTAGTGTTGAGAGATGGAATTCCCACCCTGACATTTTTTATTGCACGTTTGGGTATGGGTGGGATACAAGGGTCTAAAGGAATCTAGATGAAGAGAGAAGGATGTCTGAGAATTCCTTTTATCTTCATCTGCTATGAAAGTTGGGTGCCATCACTTCTGGGTAACATACTTCTCCGTTGATCTTATCTTTATGGCCTCACATCCTTCAGCTAAGTGAATCTTTTCTTTATATGGGCTATTCTGAGAGATTTAGTTAAGTGTAGTGGTAGAGAGAGATTATGACACTAATGTAATTCTGTTTTGTGCTGATATAATGTAATACACCCTTAGGTTTAGCCAAGAGGGTCATTTATTCTCAATAAATCGAAATCATTTCTATCTTTTCATTATGGTAGTAATATCTTTTCTCAGGTAATGGAGAAAAAACTTCTATATTTTTAATTATAGACTTACATATCAGTGTTTTTGCCTTAAAATAGCAACTCATACAACTGTTTGTAACTTCTTCCTATTTTTATTATCAGCCCATAAAGCATTTACATACTTTCTATTATGCATCAAGTAGCTTTCTGCAGATCTGTTCATTTGCCAGTAGGCGTGGATTCAGGAATCCAAGACTCCTGCCTCGGCAGGCTAACGTTGTGTATCCTAGCACCAGTTCTCAATCAGTGGGACCTGAGCTGACACTGAAAGGGGAGACAGCTCGAGTACCACATGGCTTCCCATCTTGGTTGTCTGAACTTGTCTGATAGATCATGGAGCTATTGAGATTGAGCTCAAAGTCAACTCTACACTGAGAACAACTCACCACACAGTGTCTTGTACATCGAATGGAGACTGATTTGATTTGGTTTCCAATTTTTTTTCCATAGACATTTCAAACTTTGCCTATAATCCCATTTTTCCCCCACTTCCCCTAAGGAAAACCAGGCAAGAGAGTTCATCAATCCAGATTCTCTCTAATGAATAAGAAAGCAACATAACACATCTTACTGACTGCATACAAAAACACAGCCTATAAAAAGCTATATTTCCAGCGATATTGCTTTCCAGAATCTTATTAGTGAATAACCAAAAGAGAAAATTCAGCAACTCATTCAGTACCCAATTTCAACAAACTGAACTTGACTTTTGGGGAGAGAAGCTAATGACGGAGCTGTCCCTCATCTCCTAGAATTAGTGACTTGGAGTTACATCTCTGCTGCATTATGTCTTTGTTTTCTCGGTGGCATTCTTGAGTTTCAGTTGGTGGGGAGAGAAAAGCCTCATGCTGATAATGTACTGAAAGTAAATGAAATTAAATAAGCGAAGCAGTGCTCATCACTACTTCCTCCCCCCTGGGTAATTCAATTCAAGCTCTCTCTCTGATGGCAACTCACAGGGGCTGTCTCTGTCACCCCGCTGGGGCCTGGAGTCTTAACATCTAAATAAAAGTTTCACTCAAGCATTTTTTATGCTTCTGCCAGCAGGATCAGTGAGCTGGTGTGGGCACATTAATGTAATATTCATACTCACAGACTCTCCCCGCTCACGAGGCAATGTCTTCCCATTTTCATAATTATAGATGTTCCATAAAATGGCATTTAGATTTGCATTAAAAAAGGAGGTTTGAATTCTAATAGAACGTTTAACATGTCTTTTATGATTCAGACTCTTGGCATCTTTAACAAGAAGCTATGTCTCTAAGTTTAACAAGACCTTAAAAAAGAAAAAAAAAAATTGTAGGAAGAAGAGACGGAAACTCTTAGCTCGGGGAATCCTGCTTTTCTTATTCCCTGTGTCTTTCATTTAATTTTTAGGCCTCAAGAAGCAATTTTTTGACAGCACTTCAGAGGGGATGGACTGTCCTTCAAAAGGGCCTCCTCCACCATAGCTGGTCCTCATCCCATCAGTGCCTCCCCCTCAGTAGAACCTGCTGCTGTTTTCTTGGAAAGTACCTTCGGAGGGATAATAGCATTTTCAGAAGGGCAGGAGAAATAAAAGAATGCTAGAAAAATGAACTTTCCTTTGCTGCTGTTCATCCCATGCGTGTACCCTGGGACCCATCTGGAAGGATTTGTGGCAGCCACATAGTTTGCTAACTGTGAAACACATAAATGAAAATAGTCCATGAACAAGGAAGTTGACAATAAGGACCAACTGGATAAAGAATCAGGCAGGTAGACACATTTTAAAAAGAAAAAGAGGCTCCTCTGATCTACACTTCCAAAAGTAAGCTTGAAGTAAAAACTAAGCTAGAAGCAAAAGGTAACCTTAACTACATTTTAACTTGGCTTAAAATGTTATTTTTAAACAAAAAGTAGGTAAAGCACTGAGCAAAGTGCCAGCTCATAGCCACCACTGAATAAATATTATCGTAGGAAATGTTCAAAAAGCAGTTGTTTGAAAAAAATTTTATTTCACCCAAAATTCTCAAGATACTGTACACGTGGCCCAGGTGATTCATATATGGTTCATATTTTGACTAACTTTGTTTGTATTTGGTTTGCCTTGTAAACGTCTTAAGGCAATTCCAAAGAGATTTGGGTTTGAGGACTAAAAAGAATACCTATCAAGATCCTGCCAGCCCCCTCCCTTTGTTCTGTCTAATTAAGAAATGTACAGTGTGTTCTTTAAAGAGTTTTTTTTTTCACTCTTCTTTCATTTTATTTTTTGAGGAGTGAACTCCTTCGTCTTTGTCTCTATCCTTTGCCCCCTTCTGTAAAGTAAGTATAAGCCCCAGTGGAAGAAGATGGATTAGGATCTTGACTTCTCAATAAATTTATACCTGATGAGACTAATTGAAAGCCAAGAATGTTCACAGCATACAATTAGAGGCTGATGTCAGTCTTCTCTTTGTCACAGTGTCTGCAATTCTTAGACCCTTTCTCATTCTTAGAAGAAATCAGGATTTGGCAGTTATTTCCAAGTTCATCTTGCATAGATAACCCTTCCTGTATGAACTTAATAAAATTTATGTTCACAAAGGTGGCTTTCTGTTTGTTGGGGGAAAAAAATTGAGTGTGTGTTTATTGCTCCCTCTGAAGCGACTACGTTTATGGTGGAGTCTATCACTCATTAAAGCTCGTCTGTGCTAGTAGCTATTCATTTGACTTTTGATTATCTCAATGTGGATTATTCAATTTGGAACTTGTATCTACAGCAAATTCTTAATTCCCTAGAGTCCTTTTCCTGCCAATCAGTACGTATTTAAGCTACCTCCCCTTGCTACAAACTAAGGTATGTTCAGATAATTTTAACTGATTTTAGCATTAGGTATAATTGGGAAGAAAGAAAATTAATTTTTTCCCCAGTCATACAGAAATTGTTTTATTTTGTGCTGTGTTTAAGCAGTTGCCCTTCTGTACTCTGTCACTAATGTGGCCTACCCAGAGTAGCCTAAACAAATGAAAATTGTTCAGTATCAACACAGCATCTTGCTTTTGTTCCTCTTAGGAATGGAAGACATCGTAAGAGGAGCTCAAGAGCTTGATAACATCATCAAGCAAGGATACTTGGAGAAGAAAAGCAAAGGTATTGTTCAGACACACAGATCGCAGAACATTCCAGAAAGGGAAGGGAAAAGGAAAAAAGAGGGCTAACATATCAGTTGCCTTCTCTGTGCCCAATAAATACCCTGCTAGGCAAATATAAGGCAAAAGCAGAACAAGGAAAGAAAAAAAGTCTGGTACTTATATGTGGGCTGAAGAGAGATGGTTCAAATCCTCAGGAGACTGTGAGCTTCATCCGGCTTGGGATTGGTTCTGTCTTGCTCACTGCTGTGTCCCCAGTGCCTGGTATCCAACAGGTGCTTAATAAAATGTGTTAAATGGTTGATATTCTTGTCCTCATTTCTCAGTGTGCTCCCCTAAGGAGTGAATCTGTTTTGCCAAGAGTCTAGTTTTAGATCATATGTGAAGCAGCCTCCTTTCAAATTTCAGACAAGCCCAACTCTTAACTCATTCAATTAAAGCAAGTACTGCAAGGGTTGGATTCTTAGGTTTTATCATTCAACAGGAAAACTGGTTTAGCACAGAAAAACCCTTCTTCGTGGCCACGGCCTGGAGAATCATTTTGGTTTGCCAAAGGCAATACCTGAAGATACCGTGGAGAATTTGGAAAGTACAGAATGAGGCTAGAACCTGAAAGACATAAAGGCGACTGGATAGAAAAGACAGCTGTGGGCGCAGAGCTGGCAACCCTGTTCAGAACTTGGACCTTTAGCTGAGCTGGTCCTCTGGACTGAGTCACCGTGGGATAACCTGTGGGAGTGAGAAGGAGAGTTTTACAGTCCATTAACCTGGGACATAAAACAGTAACACACTGGACTGTGTGTTGTTGGATTTTACGGACTCTTTGTGGTTGTAGTTACCTGAATTTATGTGCCCTGCTGCTGTTCTGTTTAGATCATAGTTTCTTTGGATCGGAGTGGCAGAAGCGATGGTGTGTTGTCAGCAGAGGCCTCTTCTACTACTATGCTAATGAGAAGAGTAAGTGATCTTCATTTGCACAGCAGCCTCTCACTCCTGGATGCAGCACTTCGTAAATTCTCAAGCACTTAGATCTCAAGATAGCAGTCCTTAACTAACACCCATAAAGGAACATGCTTAGGAAAGAAATAGGCTTGGGCAGATAATACCTTGCCCATCACCAGAAACACTAGAGCTCACTTTAGAAATTACTTCCCCTTTAAACACTAGGATAGTATAACTAACATATCAAAGGCTCATCTTTTATTATGAATAATAACACGACATTATCAAAATAGAATGTTTTGGCATTTTAAAAAAGAACAAGCAGACCTCCACACAGAGGATGATCCTGGCGACACAGCCCAGTGGCTCCAGCTCATTTTCTAGAGTGCAGATTACCAAAGTCCCTTGCTCTTCCCCTTCCCTCCTGTCCAGTTATTTCATTTCCCATTAGAATTTACCAAGATTGGATAGGGAGTTTGAAATTTACAACTAAAAAGAGATTTTCTTTTTCAAGGGATTTAAATTACTCTATTTCCTTATCAAAAACTAACTGTTCCTGGCCTGGCTCGGTGGCTCAGCCTGTAATCCCAGCACTTTGGGAGGCTGAGGGGAGTGGATTGCCTGAGCCCGTGGGTTTGAGACCAGCCCAGGGAACTTGGCAAGACCTCATTAGCTGAGCGTGATAGCGCACACCTTTAGTTCCAGTTACTTGGAAGACTGAGGAGGAAGGATCGCCGGAGCCCAGCAAGTCAACGCTGGGTGGCCGTGAGTGTGCCACTGGACTCCAGCCTGGGCAACAGAGTGAGACTCCAGATTAAAAAAAAAAAGAACTTCGAAATATTTATAAGCATTAATAACATAGCTAAAATATTATTTTAAAAAATTAATTCTGAGAAAGATTTACACAGCTTAAACAATGGTCCAAAAATAGAACACTAGAGCTCAGGCTTTTTTTTTTCTTTTTTTGAGTCAGAGTCTTACTTTGTCATTCAGGCTAGAGTGCAGTGGCACACTCATGGCCACCGCACCCTCAACCTGCTGGGCTCAGACAATCCTTCCGCTACAGGTGTATGCCACCATGCCCAGCTTATTTTTTGATTTATTGTAGAGACGAGGTCTCACAATGTTGCCCAGGCTGATCTCGAACCCGTGGGCTCAGGCATTTCTCTCACCTCCACCTCCCAAAGTGCTGGGATTACAGGCATGAGCCACTGTGCCTGGCTGAGTTCAGTCTTTCTAAGAGCATGCTCCAAAGTGGATCCTACTGACTACTGGGAAGTAGTCCAGTGGGCATTCCTAGAACCCTGGAGTGTTGAGACCCATATGGTTGCTGTGCCCAAGAGACACCCCTCATCAATCAGATGGCAGCAGCAGCAAAGTGTTGACTCAGGCCAGAGACAGTTTCTTAATGAGAAACTGACTCAGTCAAGTCAACACTCATGAGCTAGACCCCCCAATCCATGTTTAACATAACTGCTTAGTTCATGAGAAGGAACAGAAGATATAAGCACAATTGGACACATCTATAAATAAGTAACAGCTAAAAATTATTATCGTAAATGAATGCAAACTTTCAAATAGGGAAAACCCTTCTCCAGAGTTAGACTACCCCAGGAGCAAAAAGGAAACAAAGTCAATAAAGCAACAATTCTTGAGGAACTTTCCTTGTACTCTGCCACTTTTATACAGAGAATAGTTATACAGATTGAGGAGACCCTTCTTTTTCCTTCCAATCATTTTCTGTTTCTTCTTGATTCCTCCTTTCCCAAACTTAGTCTTCTCTCAATGCCTGGATATCCAGTGTAGAATTAATCAGTTAATCAGCCCAGTTGCCTTTGGACTTCCTGCACCTCTGGCACCGAGGTAGTAGAAGGAACTGCAGTGACTTGGAATTCTTAAGATTTGTCCCTGGCTTGGTGGCACTTGTCTCACTTTGCCTTTCTTCCTACAGCAGTTATCACAGAACTTCGCCTGATACTCACCATCTTGGGTTCCTCAGAACCTTTCCCATCTAGGGGCAAAGTGTGAAGCCCTACTTGGAAATGATAGCAGCATAGTTCAAAACCTGAACAAGTCTCCTATGTCCTTCCGACTCCCAGGCCACTCTCAAATTCAGCAACCAGCTGGGCTTGGTGACTCAACCTGTAATCCCAGCACTTTGGGAGGCTGAGGCAAGTGGATTGCCTCAGCCTACGAGTTCGAGATCAGCCCAGGCAACTTGGCGAGACCTCCTCTCTACAATAAATCAAAAAATTAGCCGGGTGTGGTAGCGCGCGCCTGTAATTCCAGCTACTTGAAAGGCTGAGGCAGAAGGGTTGCCAGAGCCCAGCAGGTCGACACTGGGGTGGCCACGAGCGTGCCACTGCACTCCAACATGGGTGACGGAGTGAGACTCCAACTCAAAAAAAATTCAGCAACCACAATTTCTCCTCTGAATTCTGGGCATCCAACCTAGCCAGGTGTTTGCTTACTTTAAACCTTCAAACTACGATAACGTTTGTGTCAGTGTAAAAATTTTCATTATTTCTTTTACACATGAAGAAGGTTTCGGCATCTCTAGTTGTTTATATTCCTAGATATAAAACCAGGTATCACGTCTGTTCATTCAGAATCCTCTACGCTTGTGGAGAGAGGCGGGGGGCAAGAGCAAGCGACTCAGAGATATTTTATTGACCATTTTGCCATCAGGGTGAAATAAAATCTGGTGACCAAAGAAACAACAAAACATTTTAGTGGCCAGTTAGAACAAAGAGAGATACTTTAACAAAAAAGATTCTGGTGTCAAAAAGCACTGTTGCATGGCTCCCTTCTCGCCAGTTAGTTCTTATTGTGCCCAGGACATTTTCTTAGTAAGAACAGTGTTTGTGTATTTCTTTTAGCTCAACCAGGTGAGGACAGAGTCTTTTTTCTTCTTTTCTTTTCAAAAAATATTGTCATCCCACTACCGTTCTTCTTCTCATCATTATCATCAACAAAAAGTATTTATTGACTGGGTGCGGTGGCTCATGTCTTTAATCCCAGCACTTTGGGAGGCTGAGGCAAGAGGATGGCCTGAGCCCAGGAATTCAAGATCAGCCTGGGCAACATGGCGAGACCTCATCTCTACAATAACTTTAAAAATTAGCCAGGCATGGCTCGTACCTGTAGTCCCAGCTACTTGCAAGGCTGAGGCAGAAGGATTGCCTGAGCCCAGCAGGTGGAGGCTGCGGTGGCCATGAGTGTGCCACTGCACTCCAGCCTGGGCGACAGAGTGAGACCTCGACTCAAAAAAAGAAGAAAAAGAAAAAAAAAGTCTTTATTAAGAAACTCGTTTCACGTAATGTAGAGCACAAAACCTTACCCAGATACAGTGGTTCCTGTTCCCTGTCCCTGTGTGTACTGCCTGACCCACATAGTGACGACACAAAATCCTCAAACACCACCTCTTTTTCTGTTTCTAACATTTTATTTGTCTTTTCAAAGTAGCGACAAGCAGAATAGTCTCTCCTTTCCTTCACTTTCCTTTTATCCCGTTTCTCATCTTCTCATAATACTCAACAGTACTCTACTTCTTCTTAATTTGACCTCTTGGAAGGAGGATAGAATACTGAGTTTTAATTATTCTCCCACTAGCATACATTCCCATCTGACCAGCAGGAGAGGGGGAGAGCAGGTTAGCCCAAATGCTACATCGGGAATGAGAGGCGATTCTGGGACCTCCTAATGCCCCCTTGCACTGCTGTCCCTCCCCTCGATTTGAGCTCTGTGGGCCTTGATAATAATGTTTCAGCTTTGTAATAGCTTTCGAGAGCCTCACGTGTACAGCCACACTCTCTCTGCTGTAATAATTCCTTCACTCTGTTATTATAGATCTCTTAACATTCTAATAAATTCCCTGTCTCTGTTGCACTCCTTTGGCAACATAACCTTTCATGTTGCATTTCCCTAGCTTGGCAGTGATATCTGCCTCACTGTCGCAGTCGCCTCTTCTTAAGCTTCCCTAATAACCTTTCCTTGACTATTATGGTTCCTCGGGGATGTTACAGCTGTTTCTGAGCTTTTATTTCACATACCAGAGAAGATGCCCTCCCTTGGCAGTTGCATCTCTCTAGGGATACAGGGAGCTTTCCTGTCTTGCAGGCAAGCAGCCCAAAGGGACCTTCCTCATTAAGGGCTACAGTGTGCGGATGGCCCCCCACCTGCGAAGAGATTCCAAGAAAGAATCCTGCTTCGAGCTGACCTCCCAGGATAGGCGCAGCTATGAGGTAGGACGAACCGAGGAGATGGGGATCCTTATTGGTGTTGCAGCTTTGTTTTGTATTGCATGGGAGCCATGGTTGCTATGCTGGGTTCCAGCCTTTCTTTGTCACCTGCTCATTTCTTACCATCTAAGACCCTCTCTCTTGACATGCCCTCACCTTTGCTATGTCACGCCCTCCCTTCCCTCTGTCACCACTCTCACTGTGGATACTGGCTTTGCTTGGCTTCCATCTCTCCCTCCCTCCCTCCCCATCTCGGTCTCATGCCATAGGTGACATGCTTGTCTGTTGCAGTACACAACCCAATTTCTCACTTATATGCTCCGATTTTATAGCTTTAATTCCCCTTCTCTTTATTTTTCAACTGATAATCTTCACTTCCCTCCACAAAACAGAAGAAGGAAAATCTAACCATAGAGTAAAAACTAATGTATTATCCCGTGTTCATCCTGCTATCCAAAATAACCTTCTCATGTGTAGATGCTTTGTCTATCTGGAAGGATTTCTGAAATATTGGTGAGACCTGTTATTGAATAGTAACAAGAATAACTGAAGAACTCGTGGACCTGGTCGGGACAAGAAAGACTGAGTCCTTGCTGTGTTCATTTGTATACATTTTAAATCTTTACCTCATGCACTTATTACCTATTATAAAATTAATCAAAGCAAAACATTTCTGACCATGGAAATATGGTGATTTTTACCAAAAATATATGTTTGTGTACGCATGTGTGTATACTGTTTCCTGATTGTTGGTAATTTTTATTTTATCACACATTTGCTAAAGCAATTTAGAAAAACTTTAGCTAACTTTTGAAAAAGAGAAAAACCATGCCAAGATTAAATTAACCACTTTAATAACCCTTTGACTTCTTCCAATTTTTCTTAGCATTCGTCTTTTTATATTTCTACAGTATCTTAACCCTGAATTTGACAAAAATGCAGGTCTTCATTATGCAATTTTCCGAATTTTTTAAAACTTTAAATTAAAACTTTTCTATAGAGTTCTTTTTGAGTATATAATATAGATATATGTACTGAATATATATCTAGTTCTTTTTATTATTAAAGTCTGATGGTAGCACATCCAGATAAAAGTTTATACAACAGGGCTCAATCAATATCTAGAAATGTTTGATTAGACATGTGCTTTTAAGAAACCAAGAATGACAATGTCTATTAATAAGTATTATACAGAAATCTCATTTCCTCTTATTGTATGTATCTTTTTCTTACCCTAATGGCCAGATAATTAAAATATTTGTCAGAAACAGTTATTTCAAGTTGATTCATTTAAAATTTAAAAATACCAAAGACCCATGCTCGACTGACCTGTGTTGTGAATCAGAATGTAGTTTATTTACTTTCCTTTGGTCCATTGAATCCAATCATTATCATGGTCTGTGGATTCTTTCTCTACAATATCCTTTGGATGTTTCCCTTCTTATTTATTCCCACAGCCATCAATATAGCTAAGCTCCTATCACTTACCCAGAGGATTAGTTAAGCAGATTTCTAGTTGGTCCTCTATCTCCAGATTTCTCTATTTCAATCCTTACTGCTCACAACAATTGAAAGAACCCCCCCCCCACCAGCCTTTGCTAGAATTGATAGTGACTTCCTATTGCCTACTCTTTAGGTCTGAACGCCTAGTACTCAGCATCCTTTTATCAACTCTTCTCTGACCTTCAGTTCTCCAACTTCATCTTTATTGTTCTTCAGTCAAGCTGATCTGCCTGCTTCCCCATCCATGATCTTCTCATTCCTGGCCTTTTGCAAATGATCCTCCTATTTGAAATGTCCATCTCCCTCCACCAGTCAGTTTCCACCAACTCTTTCTTAAGATTGAACCAAAACAGTATTACTTCAAGCCTACTCCAGGCAACAGGAAGTGCTCCCTGTCTCCCCTCAACATCCAGTTGTTGTCATATGCACGTCCTTTGTAGTGTGCCCATGTCATGTGTGTATGTTGGTTTGCCTTTTTTCTCTGTAAACTTTTCTCAAATAAATGCCTGATGAAGGAAGAGATAATCAAATGAATGAATGCACATGGACATGAATGTCTGGACTCAAAGAGCTGTCATCTCTGGGTATGCAAAATTGCCAAAGGAAAAAAAACCAGTTTGAGTGAAATATTTGGTCTTTACACGTTAAACAGGCAGAGAATCCTGAGCTTTCAACCTGACTCTGAAACTCACTTCCTCCCTTTGCACCTTCCTATCAGGATTCATGAAATATCAGTGAAGATGATAAATTAACTCACTAATTTCTCTCTAGTTTACAGCTACTAGTCCAGCGGAAGCCAGAGACTGGGTGGATCAAATAAGTTTCTTATTAAAGGGTAAGTGTCAATGTTGCAGAAATAAAACTTGGTGGGTTTGCAGTTGAAGTTATGTTGCATACATATAACCTACAGGCTTTAGTATGTAATTTCTGTCACTTCTCGCCTCTGCCTTTCCTACCACACCACCCATATTATAAAGATAAATAGTATCATATGTGAATCAGAAGGTAAAGTTGTCATCAACCTGGAGTGGTCCTCTGATAACACAGCGCATCTACCTGCCTACTGGCAAGTCTGCAATATTCATAGTCACTAGAAAAAAGACACTAAAAATAGCTCAGTCCAATTCAGTGTCTCCTAACCCCTTATATTCTGGAAAGGAAAGATGTGATATCCAACTTAAAGTCATCTAGTTGCAATTGAGATTCAAAATCTTCTTGTTTCATTCCTAGGAGGAAGTAGAAATCTAAACTAATCGAGGTGGCCTTCAGGGACATTGGACATTAAAAACAAATTGCTCTTTCCCAAGTCACAATAAAATACTCCTTGCTCTGGGATGGGAAGAGTCCTGCCTGAAGATATTAAATGACTGCTCTTAGAGTACCCTCTGCTGGCCAGCCTGCAGGCAAAGCAGGAACAGTGGCCCAGGAAGCCTTATCTGGGAGTGGCCTGGCAGGTATTAATAGAAATAGCCAACCTTGAGCGTGTGTCGCTTGGCATCGGATAACCCTCATATGCCATCGTGGCAGGATCCTGCCTCTACGGAATGGCAGAAACACCAACTTAATACATGGCTCAAGACCTAGGAAGAAGCACATCAACCTAGAAACACCAAGACTTTTCCTCTCAGTTTTTTATTCTGCTATAAGACTTTATTGTGGAGAAAAAGAAGGAAGCAGAGCTTTAATTACAAGCATTGCCTGTTCTACTCACTTATGCCTTTGCTCTCACAAAAACAAACTATTGCATCCACCAACAGCATCACGTATAATAGACTGGAACTAGGCAAACATGAACATTGATGGCAAGACTACAGGGTACACTCATCTAGGTGCCTTGGATTTATGCGTGTAATATACCCCTAAGTGTGTAAACCTCAATAAAACTCAAAGCAGCTTTATTGAGCTGTACCCTGTGGTACTTTCAGAATCCCACATTGAAGAAATTATTCATTCCATTTTATTTTAAAACAAACAAAATAATAACATATGGTTTCAGCCACAAATGTGTCTTTGATCCTTTCCTCATATGTGGTGGCACCAGAACTCAAATGAAAATGGTTGCAAAATCTTTATTAAAAGCCTAATCAAGCCAAACAGTGTTATTGTGTTTGGAAATGAACATCGGATGTCTCTCCAGCCTTTCCTCCCCCAGAGTACACCGACGGCACTCGCCCATCCTGCAGAGGGCCCTCAGCAGGGTTTCAGAGAGCACTCTGTACTGTACTTTGGAGAATGTACCTTCCCAGTTCCCCATTAAAATAAAAAACCAATCTCCCTCCCCTGCCCTGGCACTCCCCAGTGCTGTATCGGCTCAACATCCTCTGTGCGGTGACCCACTTTAAGGTCAGCCAGACTGTGCAGTTGCAAAAGGACATGGCGACTGCATTGTCCAACCACTCCCAAAGTCTTGTATATTACTGTTCTATTTTTCCAGCCCCCATTTCTTTTTCTCTTCCACTTTCGCCCATTTTTCTCTCTGCAAACAAATTTGTCTGAAATTCTGCAGCGAGATGGCAGGGAGAGGGGCTTCTGACAGCTCAGACACCCTACAGAAGCCACTCTAGCTCCCACGGCTCTGTGCCCCTGGGAGGACCACAGGCTTCATTTGCCTTCCAGTTTTCTGCTTGGTGAGCCGTGAGTGGCATGCTGGCTTTTCCTCTTCTGGCCTGTCTTCCTCCCTTTGCCTTGTGTTCCCATTCACACACCCATACTTTTCAGAGCTGCTTCACCCTGATCAAGTTTTATTGCGAGAAAGGATTTATGTTGATGGTTTAAACCTGATGCAATGCTAGTCTGGCCTTTTCTGTAGATTTCCTGCCACCAAGGCCCACATAGAAATAACAGCACTTAACCTAGTGTTTCATTTTCTTTTGACATGTTTTATTCTCATCCCTCCTCCTCCTTCTCCCTCTTTCCTTCCCTGCCTTATTCTTTTCTTTTTCAAGGTATTTGATTCATTCTCATCTTTGCCCTGGCAGATCTGAGTTCCTTAACCATTCCATATGAAGAGGAGGAGGAGGAGGAAGAAGAGGAAGAAGAGATGTATGATGATATTGATGGTTTTGGCTCCCTTAATTCTGGTTCCCAGCGCAGACCGATTATCTTGCCTGGGAGTGTGGGGATAAAAGAGCCTACAGGGGAGAAAGAAGAAGAAGAAATTTATGAAGTCTTACCAGGTGAGAAATTTTGTCCTCTGATTATCTTCTAGTTTCAGGAATTCTTGACAGGGCTGGAAAGTGTAACTGAAAACTTTAGGGTGTGTCTTACATCTGTGCCATGTGAATCACCTTATTACACATGCCAACAAGGAAAAAAAGTCCAGAATACTCATGTTTCGTTGGCTTACTGTGAGTTTGAAGTGAGTCATTAAAACTCTCTAGTTTCAACTTCTTTTCCATGTAATTGTGAGAGTAATGGAAGGCTGCCTCAAAATTATGAAGGATTTCAAAAATCTAAAATATATACATGCTGACAGACCTTTTTATTCATACAGTAAAACCCAGTAGAACCCAATTCATTATTGGGTTCAGATATGCCACAAATCAAATCTTATCTCTTAAAAAAAAAACCCTAACATAGCTGGGCAAGATGACTTATATCTATAATCCTAGCACGTTGGGAGATAGAGGCAAGAAGATTGCCGGAGTCCAGAGGTTCAAGACCTGCCTGGGCAACTTGGTGAGACCTTGTCTCTACAATAAATCAAAAAATTAGCTGGGCGTGGCACACACCTGTGGTTCCAGTTACTTGGAAGGCTGAGGCAGAAAGATCACCTGAGCCCAGCAGGATGAGGCTGCGGTGGCCGGGAGCGTGCCACTGCACTCCAGCCTGGGTGACAGAGTGAGACTCCACCTCAAAAAAAAAAAAAGAAAAGCTTAACGTGTTTTGTCTGCCCATCATTACAGCTGGTCTATTCCATATATTTCTTTTTGTCCAAAGGCATGGTAACTAGTATCTCAAAAAGTGTATAGTCATCACTGCTTCCACATAGCCACTTCTGGTAGGGATAACAGCAGCTGGTGAACAGTGCAGAGCTCAGTGGGGGTCAGACGATGGAAAACTGAAGCCTGAGCCTTTTAATTGTGAGGTAGTTAGACCACAGGAACACTGAATCTTCAAGTCCATTCAGAAAGATCGTTCCTGTGGAAATTTGCCAGGAGTTCAGTGCTCTGCTGAGAAATTCAAGTTAAGCCTAAATTTATAGCAATGTAAACCTCAATCCCAGATGAACCTAGGTACTAAGGTGAATCTAACACTCAAGCCCCTGAAGATAGGGCTGGTTGCTAAAAGCATCATCAGTAAGCAACTTGCACTGCAAAATTTCCTAAGAAGAGGATTCAGTCCTCTCCATGCTGCATTGATCTCTTCCCTGGGGAAGAAGCTATGTCATTACTTCCTGAGTCAAGGGGCAGGACTCTGGCCACACAGCCTCTCCCTACTGGGAACTTCACCCACCCACCAAGGCAAGCCTGCTTCTTCTCCTAGCACTTCCAGCCTCTGCCAGTCCCGACTTCTCCAGCCTTTTTGTTGTGTTTTATTATGCAAATGATATCTTGGTTGAGGTCGAGCCATTTCTTGTGTCTGACGTTAAAAAAAAATGATAATTTCCTCAGCAAGTCATCGTCGTTAATGAAGTTTTACAAAAACAGATACAACCAAAGGAAAATAAAATTTCACAGGTGATAAATTTTTCCAATTTCCCTGGCAGAATTCGATAGGATTGTTAAATTAAGAGTGAAGGTGTCTGTTAGAAAGCAACGAGCAGTGATGGGTAATTTTATAGAGTGGAAAATTGAATCAAATTGCTACATTAAAACACAGCTCCTCTGAGAATCTTCCCTTTCACAGTCTGCTCCATTGCAACAGCAGGGTGCAGAAATGGATCTAATTCACAACACTCCCTAAAAGGAGATACACTCCCCAACTTGGCCAGAATCTTCCTGTGAGCTCACTCTGCTTCCTGTTCTGTTCTTTCCTGCCCAGGCCTGGGGAAATATCCAGGTGACGCTCCACTTTGGGCTACAGTTGTGGAAGGGCACTCTGGGAAAACCTCACTGAACCACTCAGCCTTCTGTGGTGGGAAAAAAGGACCTTTTTATGCACCATGTTTGGTTGTCAGAGGAGTCAGGGAGGGGTGGGGCTGGTGCTCAGAGACACAGAGCAAAGGAGCCTGAAGGCAAAGAGGCCTTAGAAAATAAGATGAGTTTGGGACATCGCCTTACCCCATGGGGGTGGAGGCAGCCGTGAATGTATGATTGGCTTCTGAACGACTATCTTTCTCCTGCCTCCTAAACTACCCTTGGCCATTGCAGCACTGCCCAGGGCATCAGGGCACTCCTCCAAAATTCCCACCAACTTGTTGTTGGAGTGGACACGATGGCATACACTGATCTGCCTTCTCAAAGAAAGTTTTTACCCTGCACCCACAATAGCTGCCCATTGGAAGTGTGGAAGGCCACACAGTAGGAAAACCAGGGTCTCTTTCCACAGGTTAGGAAAACAGCAGCTAACTTGCCTACAAGTCTTCAAAGGCCGACACTGTAACCCAGTCAACAGATTCTTTCCTAAAAGTCTCTATCCATCACAGGTCTTACAGACAGTGTTGGAGGTGGGATCTATTAGCATTTAATTATGGCATGAATATTTCAGCCACAAGTCTCCATTCACCCACCTTCCTGTCCACTCCGCTCAGCTGTTGCTTCTGAAATTGCTATTTGAGTTTTGCATGTGCCACACTGCCAGTCCTGAGGAACTGAGAAGGAGTGTGATGGGAGCCTAACATTGCCTCCCTTCTGCCACCCTCTCATAAGACCACCTACCAAGCAGTGGTGTGAGATAACATGGTATTCCCGGTGAAAATGCTGGCTCTAAGTCAGGATGAATCTGTTCTGCCGCCTACTAGTTGGGAGAACTCGAGCAAGTTACTTGCACTCTGTCTGTCTGTCCCACCTGTAACATGGGGAAACCAGTAGTAACTGTCCTAGAGAGATGTGGTGAGGAGTATAGATCTGATATGGGCAAAGCACTTAGCACAGAGCCTGGTTTACAGAGCCCTCGGGATATACTGGCTATTACTGACGTGGTGGTGTTTAAATTGGAATTATTATTTCCTTGAAGCATTCAAGGTATGGCTAGGTCCCCACCCTCACCAACAGGACCCAAGACAGTTGAGTTGGACCTTTCCAGTTCTGTGTAAGAAGCAGGTGAAATTAAAATTCCTGAGCAGATGGAATGTGAAACACACCTTCTGCTCAGGTTTGTTTTTACTGCGAGGCCAGGTGCTGGGTGGAGGGACAGCCTACAGTAACATTGGATTGTGCTAACGTTGCATACCCATCAATGGTCAAATGGCTTGGGCCTCCAACATTTGTTTCATCATAACAGGTAAATGTGCTTTGTGGAGGATGTTTAGCATTGATGGTTCTGCTAATCTTCCTCTTTGGGTCGGGGCCCACACAAGCCCTCGCTGTCTCTATGGGGAGAGTCATGTACGCAAGAGCTCCCTTCCAGAGTGTAATTTAGATGGGCTTCCTAGCAGAGAGGAAAGTGTGTGGAAGACATACCAAGTCAATAGAAAAAAGTTCTTCCTAGTCAAAATAATGTAGGGGTCATCACATAAATTCACAGCATCACATTAATCATGGGATAATTAGCATTTGCCACGTGACTAGCAGTCTTCTCCCTGTGAGGCAAAAACCAGAGCATTCAAGGTTTCCATCCAGACCACAAAAATGTTCGCCCTGGAAAATATGGTTTCAAGCTTGGTATCTGGTGGCATTTCTGAACATCCGTTTGAGCATATGGGGGCCCTTGATTTTTAGGATCTCATTTGCAGTAGATTAAACTGCAGGGAACTGCCACAAAGAAATGCTAAAGCAATATGTAGAAAATGGGAGGCTTTTCTGAGCCATCTCTCACCAACGCCACTGCCCTCCCCTCCAAGTTATTTTACAGGCCAGCATAGACCTAGTTCCATGATTCAAGATTCCATAAAAGGACAACTTTAATCAGGTTTCTCTTTGTCTGAAGCCTCAAGGCTGGAGTCCAGCAAGGCGCCTGAGACCACTGAAGCGCTGTAACTGGGGCCTGGCAGCAGCTGCAATGGCAACGGAATCTGGCTGCGTTCTCCAGAGGGATTTCAGAAGAGCGAACAGAAAGAGAGAGGAGAAGCCCTCCCTGGGAATTTCTGTGCACATTCCGATGCTGCCTGCACTGCCCCGGGGTGTTTTTATAGACCTAGAAACCAGATTGCTTCATATTACTGGGTTTTCTACAAATTTGAGTCAAATGGAAACAAGCATTCTGTGGAATTAGTTTTTCCCCTGTATCCATGTCCAGACCCACAGGAAGGGGGAAAAAACAGAGATCAAAACTGCAAAGTTTATGAAGAAAGAGCATGAGGGAAGAGTCAACACCATCACCTGGCCTCCTCCAAGCATCCTGGCTTCTTCTTCTCTCTCTCTCTCTCTCTCTCTCTCTCTCTCTCTCTCTCTCTCTCTTCCCTCTCTCTCTCTCTCTCTCTCTCTCTCTCTCTCTCTCTCTCTCTCTCACTCCCAGGCACACTAAGCCCCAGCCACACAGAACCATGTTTTTTCTTCTACCTAGAATATCCCCCTCGATCTCAGCCTGTGAAATCCTACACATTCGTCTCCAATGTGCTCTTCAGTGACGCCTTCCCACATACTCAACTGGAATTCAGCTTTGTTTCAGCCTTTACCACAGTGATTTGTGTTCAAGTCTTTCTCCCCAATTAGTAGGTGCTCAGTTATTACTTGTGAAATTAATTCAGTGCATTCCAAGTGTTGCAGTTAGCATAAATTAAGTTTAATATCTTATACATCAAAACCATGCCATGGAGATAGGCTACAGACATTTCAAGCTAACAGTTGAGATTACCAAATACACAATAGACGTAAATGCATTATTAGCATCTTGCTTGCATTTTCCAAGTTGTCTGGTGAGGTGCTGTAATGTCCATGGATTTATAAAATATCTGTGCATGCCGGGAAGCAGTTTATTTCTACTTTTCTGCATGTTCCCTTTGCACTCTGAGTCTGTCTGCATTTCTGCTGCAGCTGTCACCAGAGCACCTTGACATCTGGTTGCACATTGATACAGTTGGCATTTTTTAAGCTTTTGTCACTTTGCTTTATTTGGGGAAGTGATTTCCCCTCTTTCTGATCTAACCATTCTTTTCAAATGTTATTCTTTCTAAGATCAGTTTAGTGGATGTCAGAGGGATATCAGAGCAGCACTTCAGAAAGCAGCCAGGTGTCATGAGAAGCTGGCTCCTCTCTGTCCCTCCGAGGTGGTTTCAGTGTCCTATTCCTCTCAGCCTCTCATTAGTGTCCCTGACATTGTGCCAAGAATGTTGATTGAAATTGACTCTCCGGATACTGATGCTCATTTGCGATGCCCCATGGTTCTCTTACATGTTCACACAGTTAACAGAATCTTCTTCCACTGTTTTCCCAGTTGAGATGAGATATTTGGGGATCAAGTAGAGCATTTAATGTAATAAGTGGACAGTAATCTTTAGAGGTTAATTTGTTTAAAACCTATGTAAGGTTGGGGTCCCATATGCCCTGTTAGGAGCAAGGACCATTATAATCTATTACTGTTTAAAGTTGAACTAGCACATAAATTTTAATTCTCTCTTAAATGAAGATGTATTTCCGAAGATGTAATGCTAAAATGCCTAACAATATTCTTATAAAGAAGTACAACAAGCTCTTTAGCCTAAAAAATGTTTTTCAAAATAGTCTCTTAAAATTAAAGCCTCGCATTAGAGATGAATAAAAATGAGAAATGTAACCCACTCTCTTTTTTTCTGTTGCCATATAATCAGTTGTTTTGACATTGGAGTTTGAAAGACACCAGTAGGGCTTCGTGGAAGGATCCAAAATAAATCAGATGTCTCTCCATTTGTATGGTGCTCTCTGACCCTGGGGAGGGATGGAAGGGTGTGCTTTCCTCACTACGTGACAGTGCTCTATACTCAGTTTTTCAAAGACCTAGAGGCGCAGCATCCAACCCATCAGTAGCAAAGCTTTGTGACTTGAGCCCACTTTGAGCCACTGGGGAAGGACAGAGTTAGAACAGATGTGGGAATTGAAGCTCCCTCATTCACCTCCATCACCATGGAGCTTAGTAATGGCGGCAAATGATATATAAACCCTATGGCCAACGTTTTTCTTTTTCTAGGTGATTCCAAAGGTGCGATGGAAATCAGAGTACCTGGTCTGGAATTGAACTGCATAGAACCAATTCCTGTTTTTCCATTTTCATATCAGGACGAGATTAAGTGCTGTTGCCTGAAAAGATAAAGGAATCAAGTTTTAGTTTTCATTTTTATCGTTGCAAATACATTTACATTCCCCCATTTTACAAATGCAAAGAGCAGGCAAGCCACTTTCAATAATTTATTTTAAAATCAATGCTAATGAGGTTATGTCTCGTCAGTGGCCAAGTTTTACAATAAAGTCTGATTTATTTAGAAAAGATCTTTGGTGTAGCTTCCCATCTAATGGTGGTGGGAAGGAGGTGGAATAGCAGGCACAGTGACCCTCCAACTTCGGATCCAATTTGTAATTCACAGCGGAGATCTGACCCAATTTACATTGATTAGAATTGGGAGGAAGAGACAACTGTGCACAGACAGCCGAGGTAGAATAAACTCTCTCTGCAAAAGTGCCTAAGCACAGCAAATTATTGGTCTTTGTGACTGAGTTGTTTGATATCAGCAAAAGAGCTGCCTCTGTCCAAATTATTGGTTGTCTCTAAAACGGAGGCATAGCCCTGGCTCTGGTGTTTTCAGTCCTGTAAAATGAGTCCCACGTCAGAAAGGAAAAGCATCACGACAGAGGAAGGAAGGAAGTGGACAAGTAATGAGAAGACAATGTGCAAAGAATAGCATTTAATGTGATTTATTTCAGCATCATCTATTTCCTATATTCTATTTCACTCCTCCATTATCTCACATCTTTATTCCTCACGGTGGAGTTGGGGAAGCACCACAGGTGGTAAGGAGGAAATTCTCTGCTGTGAGGTCGCACATTGAGATAAGAATTGTTGGGTCAAAGTGCTCCTTTCTCCATAGTATCTTGGAAGACAGACTGTGTGTGTGTGTGTGTGTGTGTGTGTGTGTGTGTGTGTGTGTGTGTGTGTGTGTGTATAACATATATATGTGTGTGTATCTATTTAATCTTGGAAAGAGGTGATTTATTTTCCCGGAATATTAATCTCTTTATTTTTATATTTTCAGAGTGATGACATTTTTTATGACATCAATTACTTCTTTAATATTCTGTAGTACTCTAACATATTTTTATACTGTTTTTATGCAACTTCTTCTTATGTGTAAGTTTGGCGATTACTACCCCTAGTTTGACATACCAGAACTCATATTGCCCTATAACCTTAGATTTAAAAAGAAAGAAATGGGTGGGGCGCTGTAGCTCACGCCTATAATCCCAGCACTTTGGGAGGCCAAGGTGAGAGGACTGCCTGAGCCCACGGTTTTAAGGCCAGCCTGGGCAACTTGGCAAGACCTTATCTCTACAATAAATTTTAAAAATTAGCCGGGCATGGTGGCATACGCCTGTAGTTCCAGCTACTTGGAAGGCTGAGGCGGAAGAATCGCCTGAGTCCAGCAGGTTGAGGCTGCGATAACCATGAGCAGCATGCCACTGCACTCCAGCCTGGGCAACAGAGGGAGACTCCAACTCAAAAAAATAAATAAATAAAATAAAAAAAGAAAGAAATGCCCCAGACTGTTTTCTCAAAGGTTCCATTTAGTGACAAAACTATGGAGAAGCAGGCCAGGCATGGTGGCTCATGCCTGTAATCCCAGCATTTTGGGATGTCAAGGTGAAAGGATTGCTTGAGTCCAGGAGTTCAAGACCAGCATGGGCAACATAGCAACGACTTCATCTCTACAAAAATCAGAAATTAGCTGGGTGTGATGGCATGTACCTGTAGTCCCAGCTACTCAGGAGGCTAAGGCAGAAGGATTACCTGAGCTGAGAAAGTCAAGGCTGCAGTGAGCCACAGTCATGCCACTGCATTCCAGCCTGGGAGACAGAGTAAAACTCCCAACTTTAAAAAAAAAAAGAAAAGAAAAGAAGAAGTAAGACAAGCACGTACCAAAAGTCCCAAAAAGAGAAAGTGGCTAGGAGAAGCTAAGGGTTCAGCCCTCAAAACATTGCTTATTCTACCCCGTCGACTGTGTGTGTGTACATGTGTGTACGAGAGAGAGTATATTTTTGCTCATTTTGCCTCTAACAGATAAATATGATTCTGGTACACATACTTTCTTTATAAAAGCCCAGTTCCTATTTTATCAGATAATACGAAGCCTGAGATGAAACAGGTTAATGAGGGTAAGAAACGTAGGCCAATCATGTTGTGACTTCGACCATATAAACACTTGACTGGAGTTAGACACTGTCATTGACTGAGAACCCATTGTGGATCTATGGCAATTAATTAAAAGACCATTCCAACTGCCCTCAGGAGCTTATACTCTAATGAACAAGGCAGGCTGAATAAAAACAGTAAAAAGATAACTACAAGCCCCAAGTACTGGGAACATAAAATTATGTACATGATCAGCCTTCGCTGCAGCTGAACAAAGATGGATACATTAAGGACTAATTAATCACAGAGGGTTTAAACACCTACTTCATCTCTCTCTCTCTCTCTTCCCCCTGCCCCCCAATATCCTAACTCTGGAGTGCTTAAAACCAGAGACAATGCTTGCACAGAGGTAATATATTTGGAAGAGAATTCAAGAAAGGTGAGGAGAAACAGAGTTTGAAGGATTAGGATTCTAGTAATAGGCACCTAAATGATCCAATGAATTGGAAGCTCCCCAAGAACAGGAGCCCTAACAGTCTTGTCATCTTGTCCCCAGTTCCTAGGGTGGTGCCTTCAAAAAAAAAAAGCACTTCAAAATGCTTGTAAATTAATGGATGGATGGGACAGGAAGGGGGAGAGGGCTGGTTTGAAGGTGAGAGAACACGGTAATGAAACTTTCCTTAAAGAAGAGAATGTGGTGTGCTCAGAGACCGGAGACCGCTCTGTGTAAAGAACTTGAGATTGCTGACCACGAAATGCTAATACTGATCATTTATCCCCTCAGATGAAGAGCAAGAGCCAGAAGAGGATGACAGTGGCCCTGGACGAGAGGGAGGTATGGAAGCTTCATAAATGCACAGCACTGGATAGAACATTCAACTAGAAAAAGTGCCTTTCTCCCAGACTACAAAAATTAATTATAATTAAGAGGGTACTGGTATGCAACCCCAAAAGTCCCCAGATAAAGCATAAGGATAAGGAAGTGCCTTAACTTTATTTTATTTTTTTATTTTTGGAAATACCTTAACTTTAAATCAGCTACCCATTCACTGTAATTAATGTTCCCAGAACAGCTGGTTTATCCTCAAGAGGGTGGGAAGCCAAACCAGATATTTATTTTTTTCCTATCAGTATTTCTGAAATCAGTACAGTGAAAATAGAATTGCCTCATCTCTAAGAGATCGGAGGATTGAGAATGGAAAGAATGGAAATGTCTCCTCTCTGAGAGGCCCGGAGATTGCAAGTTCAGAGGGGAATGGAAATGTGTCAGATCTGAAAAGTGAACGTGGGGTGAAGGATAGAATTGCTTGGTGATGCTGACTTCTGATGGCCCGGTTTGATTCCAGGCACATTTGGAAATGAATATTTAACAGGTTTGTTGAATACAAAATTACGTCTTACTCATCCCAGACTGTTAAGCATGCTTCAGGCTGTCAGTGAGCCCATCCTTTCTAAGGTCAGGTGGCCCTCGGAAGCCCCCTGAAGTGGACCAAGGACCTGTTCTGTCGTTGTCAGTGAAGGAATGCTGTGCCTTGCAGGGGGCCACCTCAAGGACATCATTCCATCAGCGGAGCCGAATCATGACTGATTTCGAGACTAGATGATTTTTTTTCCTTTCCCTTGCTGCTCCCTCTCCATGTCCCTGGCCCTGCCTTTTCCCAGTCTCCTCCCCGCTCCTTTCCTTGTGCTTTTTCTTCTCTTCCTTGCCCGTTCAGCAAAGCCCCCTCTCCTGGGTTCATTCGCTCTACAGGAAGCAAATACTTAAAAGGCTTAGGACCCCAACTTCATAAGGGTCCAACTTCTGCCAGGGGAGAGAAAAGCCAGTGAAAGGGGCAGCAGCAGAAGTCACGTGCCAAGGCAGAAGAGAAAGAGAGCAGCTGGGGTGGGCATGATGCAAGGATGTGAGAGTGGCATCAAGTTCCTCCTCACGGTGACCATGTGATACCTTGTGATGAACACATGATACCTCATGAGACACACGTGATCATCATGTTGAACATGTGATACTTCGTGATGATGAACACGTGATACTCATGATGGTGACTACATGATACCTCATAAAGATGAACACGTGATACCTCCCCATGAACACATGATACCTTGTGACGGTGACCACGTGCTATCTCGTGTTGATGGCCACATGATTAAGTCCATTCTGAAACCTTGATACTGTTTTCTATTTGCTGTACAGAATCCCAGCTGAAAATCTGTTCTGATCCACCCTGTTCCACATATATCTTTTCTCAGCCAACTCCCATTACCAGTGCAGAAAAGAAACCCTTCACATGGACAGCATGGGTGGAGTAGCTGTAAGCTTCCTATGGCCGATTTTATATTAAACTCCATTCAGGAAGCATCAGTCTTTTGACAAAGTGTAAATTTCAGTTTCATGCTCCTTTCTCATCTCACTTCCTTTTTTCATCCGTTTCTAAGCTTAAACCTGGGAGGTGAGAGGAGATTTATTTCTTAACTGTTCCAACAGCTATAATTCAACTGGGCTTAAAAAACACACAACCCTTTTGTTCCTCATGCTTCCTGCCTCCGAAATAGGTGTTGTTAAAGTATAGCAAGCTCTAAACATGTTTCTGTGGTTTATACATCCCACCCATTATAATGATTGGTGATTCAGTGATTAAAAAACAGAAGGACTTTTCGCTCTCTCTGCAGAATCTGAGGAAGGAATTTTTATTATTCGTGTTTACTTATTTATTTATTGAATTTATATAGTGCCTTTTCTCCAAAGGAGCTATAGAAACAGCAACAAATATGTAACATCCAAATGTCATCACTTAGTTTTATAACAATAAAATATAGAGGTCTGGGGGGAAGGGCAGACAGCCCCAGTGAAGGCAGTTAGAAGGCAGGGAGCTTGGCCAGGCACAGTGGCTCACGCCTACAATCCCAGCACATTGGGAGGCAGGGGTGAGAGGACTGCCTGAGCCCAGGGGTTCAAAACTAGCCTAGGCAATTTGGCAACACTTCGTCCCTACAGTACATCAAAAAATTAGCTGGGCACGGTGGTGTGTGCCTGTAGTTCCAGCTACTTGGAAGGCTGAGGTGGAAGGATCACCTGAGCCCAGCAGATCGAGGCTGCGGTGGCCATGACTGTGCCACTGCACTCTAGCCTGGGCAACAGAGTAAGACTCCAACTCCAAAATAAAATAAAAACAAAAGACAGGGAGTTTTAGAACAGTCTTTATGACATAGACAAGCTACACAAGTTTGTGCTACATAGAGTTTCTCAGGTGTCGGCATGCTTTTTTGGAAGAAAAAAATTAATTTTAAGCAGGTTGACCTTTCCCTTCCTCCTTTTCTCCTAAAAGATTCTGTGCCTAGCAGGGTTACCTTTAAAACCCAAGGTCTTTTCTCTGATATCCATGGATCCTGTTCCTTGAATGCTGTGCTTTTCCCTAATGGAATTGCTATCATTTTTAAGGCCCAACTAGATCTTATCAGAAGGGGGGAAAGAAATTTCAGTTTATCCTTATTGAGTGTTAATGACCCTGTAAGATGTAATTTATTTTATTTTATTCTGTTACCTAGAAAATCTATCACAGCCTTGTAGTATTGATTGTTCAATCTATAAAGAGCTTGGTTTACAGCACGACTGTTAGTAACAGAGTTATTTTAAAGAGCGACTCTTCAACACCTCAGATTTTCACTACATTTTCAACCCATCAGCCTAGCTAGTCTACACTAAGGGTCTTAGGAAATGAGAGCTTATCTCCCTTCCTTATCATGAAAAGGTAACATCCAGGTAGCCAGAAATAAAACTGCTCATCGCTGTTGGTATTAAAATAGCATCAGCCGGGCTCGGTGGCTCAGCCTGTAATCCCGAGCCTTTGGGAGGCTGAGGTGAGTGGATTGCCTGA